TGCATAAATTTTCATTTTAAGTGTTGTTTTGGTTAAAAAAAAAATCAGTTGGTAAACATGGTAGCTAGAAGGCAAACCTCTAAACAAGGAACCGGCCATTATCTCCTCCGAGATAAATTTTCGAATTTGCAAAAACGAGGGCATCTTGCACCCTTTCTGGCAAATCTATATGTTTTTAAAATATCTCTAAAGATATAGCTGTGCATGGTCGCAAACAATTGTCCTTTGGGATCAATAAGTTGTGTCCTTACTATACAAGGTGTCTCCTTTGAAATGCTCCGGAGCTATGATAGAAACATACATTCCATCAATTGCTCGGGCCCCATTACCGCTCAGCTCTTGATGACTTTCTTCTACCTTTCTCTGTTTTTAATTCAGGCAAGCTACTCACATATCACATAAGTTAATGTTACAGGAATAAACTCATTGAAAGTAAACATTCTTAAGTATCTAGACATATGATCTCATCATGAATGTCATGGGTTTGTATTAATTTCCCATTCACATATTTGTATTGTGCAAAATTTTTGAGATCAATGACTGTTAGTTTTCTTCATCGTTTTAATTCTCCTTGAAAATACATAATTACATGACTGACGCTTTTCATACTTGTATATATACATGTATACTGAATTTACGACAGATTTTCACGTTATTTCCCGATTATGACAATGAGCGCACGGCGGTTGTGACCGATCGGCAGGGATGCTCATTCCTCCATGGCACCTGATCCCACTTCTGATGTTTTGGAGGTGTGTTTGCTCTGCTCCTATTTTGTATTGTTTTATGGATTTTGATATTGAATACGTACTGTTCGTTATCTCCATATCCTTCATGATCATATTCAAGCGGATATTTTATGATGAACTCACACACTTGATGTACTATATATTTTCCAACACCAAAAAGATTCCAATCGTCCAATTTCTGCTGAAGACGTCAATCAGTAGATGGCATTAGTCACCCTTTCCTTTAAACCCAATGACTCTTCTACAGGCTTTAGGACCAAATCCAAAACATTTTCCAACATTAAACAACAAATTTTATGGCATAATCATGTTATTCGCTTCGCGAATGAAATAAGTTTGACGTTGTACACGTTAACGTCATTTCTTGTATAAGAGGGATTCTAATGATGTTATACAGTTTATATTATTATTTTCGAATATTTAGTAGTATTTACTGCTATTTCAGGAAATAAAATAATACGAGAGAGAGAGAGAGAGAGAGAGAGAGAGAGAGAGAGAGAGAGAGAGCTCCAATACTGGATTCTTTAGATAATCGTTAATATATATGAAGAATGGGTAGCGAATCAAATAACATGAGTATACATATACAGAGGCAACATTCTAAAATTCTATAAAAGGGGAGATTTTCAAAGGGTAAGAGTTCGTTTTAAATATATATGAAGAACAGGTAGCGAATCAAATAACATGAGTATATATATACAGACGCAACATTCTAAAAGCCTCTGAAAGGGGAGATTTTCCCCGGAAAAGGGTTTCTTTGGGGGACATACAGATAAAAAATGGGGCTTGGATTTTTTGGGGGTTTCATTCTTAAAATGATCGTGTCTTAAATGATCAAGGCATATTATAGGGAGCGAATCAAATAACATGAGTATATACCGACGCAAGTTCTGTTTTTACTTGCATGAGAGTCAATTAGACCGTATCGATCATACATATGTGAAGAGCAGGTAGCGAATCAAATAACATGAGTATATATATATATACAGACGCAACATTCTTAAAAGCCTCTAAAAGGGGAGATTTTCCCCGGAAAAGGGTTTCTTTGGGGGACATACAGATAAAAAATGGGGCTTGGATTTTTTGGGGGGATTCACTCTTAAAATGATCATTTTTCAAATGATCAAGGCAAATCATAGGGAGCGAATCAAATAACATGAGTATATATATACCGACGCAAGTTCTATTTTTCCTTCTACGAGGTAAGTGAATAAATAACATTTAGCATTTATTTCTTTAAAAAACATATACTTACTAAATTTCTTATTTTATAATTGTGTCAAGGGATCATTTTACTACCGACAATTCCGGAATGAAATATTTCTTGATTACATATCATTCACTTTCAACTTGCACTTCTAGGCCTATGAAGGTAGCTAGCGAGTGAACACTCTTAACACCACAGTATAATATGAAAGAATCACAAAGACTTAATATAAGCCGTATAAATATTTTTTTTAACAAAACCACATACTTTCATGTAATAAACGTTTAAACTATTTGCATTTCAATCTATTTGCTGTTTATTCTGTATCAATATTGAAAATTAAGCAACATTGAGAGCAAAAGTAATATTATGTTTACTCCGTAAATTACAAGCAGTAAAATATTTGTTCACATTTTATAGCATACGAAATAACTAGCAAATGATTTAAGATGTATCACGTTTGAATATTTGAAACATAATTTTTAAAACTATTTAAAAAATTCCGTTTATTCCGTAAATAGCATATATATATATATAAAAAAAAAAATAAATTTGAAATAAAATTAACGGAATAAATACCAAACTTAATTCAATTATTTATTTTCTCATTAAGTCATCAATAAATATAGAATGATATAGATGTGTCTAGTTTAACTATTACACATTCAACATAATTTTAGCTAAATGAAATAAAATTGCGTTTATTCCGTAAATTATGTAAATTAAGATATAACATTTTACGGAATAAATAGCAAAATTTATTTTATTGTAATTAATTAATTGTCTGTTGTTCATACGGAATAAATAGCATATTTTTAAACTAATTTCTTTACATATCTTTTCTGTTTGTGATATCATAATATACTTCAGTTTACGTGAAAAGCATTAGGCGAAAATTGTGTCGGTATATATACTCATGTTATTTGATTCACTTCCTATAATATGCCTTGATCATTTAAAAAATGATCATTTTAAGAATGAAACCCCCAAAAAATCCAAGCCCCATTTTTTATCTGTATGTCCCCCAAAGAAACCCTTTTCCGGGGAAAATCTCCCCTTTCAGAGGCTTTTAGAATGTTGCGTCTGTATATATATATACTCATGTTATTTGATTCGCTACCTGTTCTTCACATATATATGATCGATACGGTCTAATTGTGACATGACCCGGCGAGTTTTCCTTTGAAGTCAAGCATACTGTAACTGCGATACAGAACACTTTTTGTGGGCGTTTCTTATGCAAATTAGCAGAAACTGTACTGTATCTGCAAAATATCAACGATACAGCACGGTTTATTTTTAGCGATGACGGAAAGCTGTATCCGTATACAGACATACCAATCGTTCAATTCGCCATAGAACTGTTAGTATTTATATATGTACTCAAATATTGAGGTGAATTAAAAATAAAATTTTACAACATAAAGGTATTATTGTCGATTTAAAAAAATTTAGAAAGGAGGGAGTGGGGCAGTTCACAAATCATTACTTTGACCCCCCCCCCCCCCCAAAAAAAAAAAACAACAACAAAAAACGGAAAATCGTATTCCGTATATATTTTATAATCAACCAACACCTATGTGGTCATTTCGTTACTTGTTGATGAATTAAAAACCGTATGTATACAAGTTTAGAAAAAAAAATTTAAGAAAGCGAAAAAGAAACAAAACTCAAAGGTGGGATGGGGGCACCAGTGAGTGCTGTATCCCCGTTTGGTTACTCTACATTTTAATGAAAACGTGAAGGTAAAATACCCCCCTTTCCCTTTCATCTGCTTATTTCAATTTTATATATGACGACCGGTATAGGACATTGTCGGACCTTTCTCTCAGAATCTACGATCTCCCGAAGCATTTCTGTTTCAAAAATATTCCCACATGATTTTATATATCAAAATGTTTTGCATTAAATCGTAGCTTAAACATGAAAAAAAAAATGTCAGCAAGAGCTGCATAGAAAAAAAAACCCTGCGCAATCAAATCTAAATAAAATTTTTGGAAAACAAATTAATTTATGCATCCCTTAGATAATTTTAAAATGATAGATACCTGCACGTCCATCTCACTCGGCATTTCAGTTGCGAATGCTTGAAATGGGATACAAATCAACTTTCTGCAAAATCATCTGATTGGTTGGGAGGTATGTACCCAAATACGCATGTAAATTAGTGAGGTCCTTAGAAAGGTCATGTCACAAGTCATTTAGAATACTCGTTTCTTACTGTATCAGAGATACAGGGCGGGGCCCGGCTCGAGCTACCGCTCTCGCCTCAAGCCCCGCCCTGTATCTCTGATACAGTAAGAAACTCGTACTCTAAATAATACTTGACTCTCATGGAAATAAAAACAGAACTTGCGTCGGTATATACTCATGTTATTTGATTCGCTCCCTATAATATGCCTTATGCTAGTTATAAGACAGAATTCTCTATATATTTTATTTCCTTAAATCATTGGTAATTTTGATTACCGAATGCAAAAGCATGATTAAAATCACTCTTATACAGGCATTGACGTTAACGTGTACAACGTCAAACTTATTTGATTCGCGGAGTGAATAACATGACTATGCCAATTTTATAAATTTTCCCTTCTGCGTGTTTAAATTCTTAAACCATTTTTTGTCCTTACAATCAAGTTCCTTTTCTTTCGTACCAATAAATTAGTGGATCGGGTTTCCACCCTAGTCTTTAAGGAACATTCAAAAGTTAGTCTTTTACCCAAACAGTAAGGAAATACACTTTTCAATAAAAATTTACAATTCTGAATCTGTCTTTCTTTTTAGTACGGTATACAGTGGGATATGTCATTTTTAAAGCGTGCTTAAAACCGAATTTCCGTGACATTCTAGTGTATGTGAAGCACAAAGGTTTACAAAAAACTAAAAATTAACACTGCACACTGAAAAAAAATGTTACGAGTAAGTTCGAATTTCCTCGACAATGCATTATATAGAAAATATACAGTATCCTTGACCCAAGCGCCTATGTGTAAAATGCAACATTTAAATCTCCCGCCATGTAATGACTTGATAGTTACCCATAGTTCCAGAAGCGTCGAGGAAGCAAGATGGCGGATTTCGGGTCGCGGCTGGGCCTGGATTGACGATCGTCACAAAAGATTTACGTCACAAAGCGAAAAAACAACGTTATGTCTTCTAAATGAGTGTCTATGAGGGTAAATTTTGTTCTTTTAATATATTTTGTTATGATGTAATGATGATACTCGCTGTGTTTTCTGCAAATATTGACAGTGAATCGAAGGTAAACAAGTTTGGGCACGGGTGTTTCAAACTATTATGATGACAGTGCAATGTTTGAAATATCATGCTGCTATCTAATATCTTCTAAAATAGATTCCAGTGCAAATTGAAATTATTTTTCTTAAACGTATCATGATTTAGTTCAAGAATTGCTTTGAAATGGCTAGTAATGAGGTCCAATAAAAACCTTTGATAGTTTGAATAACAGATTAATTTGGAAAAAAGAGAGCTAAAAGTAGATTTATTAAGGTATCCAAAATATGATGTCTAAATTTTTCTGATATATTTATTTTTATAGGACATATAAAATTGTTATGATTTTCAGAAATAACCCAAAATTCAGTTTAGGTGGAGATTTTTTAATACCAATCCTCAGAACTGCAAGATCCACATGCTTATTGCAGTATGATATATAGTCTTGCACACTGCTTGACTTATTAGGGTCAGTCTTGCACCCACGTGAGATATTGGGGTTAGTTCTTGCAAATTCAAATTCAGCTGATCAGGGTTAGTCTCACATCCCTCCACTATATTAGTGAATAGTGTTAGTCCTTGCACATTATTTGACAGCTTAGGGAAAGTCTAGCATCTGTCCTGGAGATTTGGATTAGCCCATGCATACCATCTGAGAGATTAGATCTAAAGTCTTGTTCTTTTTTATTAATTAAGAATTAGCTACATCTGTATTTTTCTCAAAATTCTGATTCTGCTTCGTGGAATCTTAGTTTGTTTTATATGAAGAAAAAAAAAGCTAGGTGTGAAAGAAACATCACTACATTAAAGCATGCAAGAAAGAAACATCACTAAGCTAGGACTGCACACGCTTTGTGGAATGACATTGTTTATTCTCATTTTCAACTGAATAAGCAAAATTTATTCATTGGGGGGGGTCCAAGTATATATTAAAGCAAGTTTTTCTGGAGTTGGATAAAGATAAGTTGTTCTCTGGTTTAGCGCATTTGGTACATTAACTGTTGAAGCCAAATGATTTTTTTCTACTTTTTAAAGACTAAAACAATCACCCATCAATAGATTGATAAATAATGGTCTGTAATACAGTAAAGCTCGTTTAGTACGAACACAGATATTGCGAATTCACGGATATAGTGAAGTCATTTTGAATCCCCAGCTATATATTAAATTTAATGAATAATTTTTTGTACGGTTATAACAAAATACAGATATAGCGAAGTAATATCAAAGGTCCCAGCAACTTCGTTTTAACGGAGTTTTGCTGTATGAAAATTTTATGTCTAATGTGCAGCATCGTCTCAAGCCACGGTCCGGAGTCCGCATATATAGCTCTCTCCTACCCATGGCTGCTTGATCACAAAAAGTGTCGAAATCTTGAATATTTACGCCTCTCTATTGTGACGTCATATTCAGTCAGTGACAAGTTTTGTTTCCATCGCAATTGAAATCAACAACTGACGTCAACAGTATACAAGAAATATTTTCTTTACTGCGATTGGATATTGAAAGGTCGTGATAAAGTTCATATTCCGACTATGCTTTACTCGCATTGGTCAATATTTTAATGAGCCACGAAGAATTCTCGCCTCGTTCAACCACGGCCAGAATGGGAGAAGATCGTACATTTTGGCTGCGGTTTGCGACGATGAATGTGCAGTTATACTCAAGAATATTACTTATAATAAATAATTGTGTGTGGCAATGTATGGAGAAGTATAATCATTACTTCACATTGTTCTGTATAAATTATTAACATTGAATAATTTTGTTGACCAAAGTTGATTGGCTTTATCATTTCATTCAAGAAGTAACTGTGTAGTCACAAATTAAATTGGAAAGTATCACATTAATTATATAACTTAAATTTTTCATCTCTGAACTTTATTTCTAATAGGGATCTTTTTTCGCTTTTAGAGTGAATCTTAAAGAAACCAAACATAATGTATGAGCAGGGTAATACCACCGTGATCAATGATCAGCTGATCCTAGAGGAGGATTATGATGAAAATTACCAACCAAGTGAAGAAGGTATCATAAATAGTTTTAATATATTTTAAAACATCATAATACTTCTATAATCATGTAAGATCCATCCTTTAAGCTGATATGTTGTTCTTCCATTTGATTTTAAGAGTGGATGTTGTCAACTCAGTGTCAAAGACAACTACATGAAAGTGCATAACTGTCGTAGTGGTTATATTCTTTATAATTTTTATATTTGTTATGAGATAACATGAGGTAACAAATTAGTTGGACTTGATTATAATATATTTGTACATGTACTTTCTATTTACATTATAATCAGAAATATGGTGATCCCCCCCCCCCCCCCCAAATGAAAATTTTATAGTTAGATTTTATGAGAGTTCATGTATAATTCCATTATTAACATTTATGGTGCTGTTTTTTATATTTCAGAAATATTTGAATATGCACAGATAATAGGGATTGATCCTAAAACAGAGCCCCATTTGATCTACATAGCCAGGGAGGGGATCAGTGCCCCCCTACCGGACCACTGGAGACCATGGTAAGATTAGGCTTACAATGTACCTTTAAAAGAGGCTGGGGGTGGCAGCCATTTTCAGACTATTTCGATCTCCTTTAAAAGAAGAGCTCCATATAAAGATATCAAATTTTAAAACTAAAATGTATGAATTTTTTCTTTGCAAAATGATAGTTGACAGCTTAAGATACCATATCTAAAAATATAAGTTAAATCTGCTGGTTAACTTGTGGTTAACTTGTTGACCCCCCAGCCTCCTTATTAAAAAAAAAAAGATTTTGGAAGGTCTTTTCAGGCCTTTCAAAATGTGCTGGTACCTGGTACTTTTACCTGGCTGAAATTATGAATACACTGGCCAAAATATTCATTGGAGAAAAGTTTGATAACATATTCAGTTAAAATTGCTTCCACAAGGTACCTCCTATTTTGAAAAAAAGCACCACCTATTTTTAATTTGTTTGAAAGCCCTGTCTTTTGGACTAGAAATAAATAATAAGAGTAAAAATGTAAAGCATTGAGTTTGTCTGTAAACATGAACCTGAAAGAATAATACAGAGACTGAGAAATACCAGTTAATTTTTGTCTGTTCTAGTCAAGATCCCAAGGGAGATATTTATTACTTTAACTTTGCCACTGGGGAGAGTATCTGGGACCACCCTTGTGATGAGTTCTACAGACGGATGGTCATGGAGGAGAGAAAGAAACTGGCCATGAACAGAGGAGGTCAGTATTTCCTCAATTCCTAGTTAAAGACAACTAGTGTATTGATAAGTAACCAAATTGTTGTGAAGGAATTATTACTTTGATATGATATTATGCATTTATTTTGAGAAAGCTAGTGCGTATTTCTGTTTATTTTGTTTCAGGCGCTCCTTCTCGTGGTGGTCAGCCAGGAAATAATGCAGCAGGTAAAGAGTTAAAAATATATCTTTAAAAGAAATATGTGACATCTGTTATATTTTCAATAACAGCTTTGTATTGCAATATTGATAATGTTTATCCCAAAGATAATACATTGCAATATTTTCTATCTATACTCGTAATGACAGTATGCCACCAAAAGTATTATGATATATGCATGATTGTTAAATACATGTACTTGCATGGTTTGCCTGAATTCAAAACTCAGCTGTATGGACATTTTCTGGAATACTAATGCTAAAGTAGAATAGGGTTTTAAGTTGCAGAAAAAAATTTGCATATGATCTTTTGGATCACAATGCTTCAGTTTTGAGTTATGTGCCAAAGTACAAAAAAAGGTTCAACACTCGCTAGTTGGTAGAGTTGTTTTACATTTTAATGTCATGGTTTCAGGTTCAAAGAAAGGGAAAGGAGGCAAAGCAGATGGAGGGAAGAAAAAAGACAAGAAAAATAAAGCTGCAGAGAAGGTACACATACAGGGACATCAATATGAATGCATCATAAAATTTTTATTATTTAGTATGCATGTATCAAACCATGCCTCGTGGATTGGTGACTAATTCTGTGTTGTATGTATTTTATTTATAAAGAAACGTTATGATTTTATGTACTGTGTGGAAGATAAGTTGGGGTCTGAAACCTGAAATATACTGAGGGTCTTGGTCAATTTCTAGTACAGGTGTTGACTGGGTTGGGGAGGGGGGTGACTCATATAGTTATCACATGTATATGTAATCCTTTGTATACGATGAACACTGTCTGATATTAGTTGGTTATTGGTTATATAGAGATAATATAAAATGCCTAGATTAATTCAGTGATTTAGTGATTGTTTATTGTTATTATTTAATGCAGTGTTCATAGTATTTTATATTGTGTGATTTAAATTTCAGCTTGGTCCATTGAAAGCTGAGCAGAGTAAGGGGATTCCTTCTATGCACAGAAACTCAAGTCTGGACTCAATGAAATCTTCCACAGGCCAGTTAGCTCCCCTGAGGGGGTCAGCAGGAAATAGTCAACCCGTAAGTAAATGATCACAGAAAAGTTTCAGGTTTTTTTTTCTTGTGTTTGGAAGAAAATAAAAAAAAAAATACAGTACTACAATTTCTAGTTTCTAGAACAAATGTGTGTAATTTTTTAATGAGATAACTCAGATGCATACATGTTTGGGATTGTTTGCACAAGTATGTGTTTTGTTTGTATTCAATTTTTGTATTCATTTTGTTTTGTTTGCTTTGTTTTTACCTCCATGTACATATACATGTACATGTAGTATTTCCATATGAACCACAAATTTCCTTTTTTTTTTTTTGTCAGTCTAAGAGTTCATCTTCTGTAAGTTCCTATACAAGCTGACTAGATTTTAGTGTGCATTGGCAATTCATGTCATTTCATGATTTGCATGCCAGTTAAATCATGCAACACATTGGATATCTAGTTGAAATGTTGAAGAAACATTTGTTTACCATTGTTTGACTTTAATTTCATTAAACTGAAAAATGAACTTTATGAAATGTTGGGTTTTTGTTCATTTAATCTTTTAAATCTCTGAATTTTGTGCTTGAAATTTTGAAATTCTAGAAATTTTAACTTTTAATATATATATATATATATACATGTATTTTGGTTTATGAGACACATGTTTTTCCACATGTAAATATGTAACTACTGAATATGATACAATTCCACGATAAGTTCATTGAACTAAAACAAATCTGGGTTATTAATTCAATGATTACAAATTGATTAATGACAAATTTTTTGTAAAAAGATTTTGTTCATTACCATCATGGAGCTAAAGTACAATATATGTCATATTTCATATGGTATTATCAGAATAATACCCATGTACATGTATTACTAAATATTTTATCATGGGTAGAGTAGATCCATCATGTATATACACCTGGTTCAATTGAAAAGCCACAGGAAAAAATTATGGACATTGGTTGTTTACAGTAACCCAACAAACCCATATTTTTGCTGTAAAAATTGAGAAATTGCAAGTCTTCATCTTTTCTTCCACACATAACTGTTTACAGGTCATAAGGTCACTTTTGAAATTAAATAGCAATTTTAAAGCTGTCAGGTAGATTAAAGAACAAGTTTTAAAAAACCTTAAATTCCGATAAAATATTGGGGGAAAAATATAAATATATTGAAAATTGCCACAGAACAAGAATGGACTACATTTCTACATTAATTTTGAGCAGCTATGAATTACTTTAAAGATTAAAACAGAATAAAACATGAAAGATGTATTTCTAATTGTATTGTTAGAGTTTTTGATGACCATCAAATATGAATTGAATTGAATTGAAAATCAAATTGTAACATACCAAGATTGTAGTAGCCCTCATGTAGTGGAAAATATTTTTTTATTCTCAAGCAATGTCAAAGGAGCACATCAGTGTTAAGAGTCCTAGCTGCTTTAAATAATTTATTTTCAATCTTTCACAAAATAAGAAAAAACATGAATATAAACAAACATACAAATTGTGAAGTTTACAGATTTCCTTATAGAATTGGAAAGTTATTTTACTCAAACATTTTGGATTTATGATGTAGGTGAAATCCAGTCTGAACACTACGGGGTCCCTGAAGTCTAACAACCCCAACATGCTCAGTAAGAGTGGGAACCTGACCAGCAGCATGAGTATCCCCATCTACTCCACCGAGTACGAAGAGGACGAGATGGAACGACCGCGGAATGATCTCGATGCTCACGATCTCGCCATGCTGGGATACCAGGTCAACAAATTAGCTCTAGATCTAAATAAATGAACATGTAGCACTTTTAACATTGCAATAACTGCTTCAAGAGCATAATTTATAACATTGGTTTTTAACATAAAATTCACTGAAAAATTGTCTTTTTTAGTAGTGATCATTTTGTAGCAAAAGTCCATGTAAAACTAAATATGTGTACTTCAGCGTAGTTAAAGAATCTTTTTTTTTACTTGAATATATAGGAGTCAGAAGAAGGGAGTGATAAACTGAAGATTGAAACAGAATCAGAAGACAGTGAAGATTATGGCAAAGATATTGTAAGTACAGCCAATACCCAGAGATACCTGTTGATTCAATGTATCAGAATTAGGACTCAGTTACACAATTAACACTGATATATGACATATATTTGTTGATTGCATGGATAACTATATTGCTGAAATGATTGATACATTAACTGTATATATACTATATATATATATATATATATATACAATCACTTGAATCTGCAGATTAATGAAGTAGTTTTTAGACGGGGTCACATGACCCCGTCTATTAGTTTACTGTCAGAGCCTCAAAATGGAAGCCGTGGTGATAACACATGAATTAAATCTACGCTATATGAAAGACTGCAGGAATTGTTTTGATCAAAATATAAACATTCTTTATCAAACTGAAGAAAGTGCTATGAACTTTTCTCTAAATCAAATTAATGAAGCATTTTGTAAATGTAAACTCAAAATATTAATTGTGAAACGCACTAGTAAACAAAGTACTCTCCTGCGTAGTATTACGAATGCGTATGCATCATCCATTGTTTACTTTTGGAGAAATATTAATTCGGACCAGGTGAAATTCGGACAGTTCAAAAAGGTTTCATGACTTAGCAATTATTGAAATTTCTGCTTCAAATTAAATGAAAAATGCGAATTTATTTTATTCACAGTTTTTTTTTGTATGTTAACTGAAAAAATTATCAAAACTCATTAAAAAAAAATTGTGAAATCTAGCATGAAAATTATTTTGATCCCGTCTTTCAGTACTGTTTCAGTACTTTGATTCTGATTCTAATGCCAATATTAGAATTGACACTTTCAGCAGTTTGTTACAAACCAAACTTCCTTGGAGAGATTTTATGTGTGAAAATTAAATTTTAGAATTGATGAGTTATATCATTGTAATGTTTTTTGAAGGATTTTGGGATTGACAAGAACCTGTCAGAGAGAATAATGGACATGGCCATAGAGAACTTGGATCCTGTCCGAGGCTCCCTAGAGAAGGTCAGTGACCTTGAACTTTGGTCAAAGATGGAGGAAAGAAAACCTAAATTGTACTAACTACCTAAATATTTTTGCTTTGGAAAGAAATGTAAGAGATTGGTTAATTTGCCTCCTTTAGTTTTATTAGATTCTTTTATTTTTGTAATTTACAGGATTTTGAAGGCACCATGTCTGCAATGTCCACCGCCAGAGTAGAGTCCCCTGGGGGCAAGATCAGCCCTCTGGATAGAATGGAGGAAGAGAGACGAAGAAGAGCAGAAATGGCTGCCAGTGCTGCAGAAAGGTATCGTAACAACCTTGTATTGTTATAGAAAAAAAGTCATGTAATTTACTTTAAAGGCTCTATATTCTGAATTAATCAATTCTTTTTTAACCTTGAAGATTATTTCTTGTAGAAAATAGTTGTCTTTTTATTTACAACTCTCATTTGTTAATATTGCATTTTACTGATACATAGTCATCATATCCAGTAATTAGAAACATAAGCATGGTGTTTATTTTACACAGGCGACTTATAACTCAGGATGGTTATCAATCTTATGAAAAGTAGGTTAATTGTGTGAGCTTTCATTGGTGTGTGAAGAAATCCTGTAACATGCTTTGATAGTGTGTCTATCAATCTGTCACCTAACTATACCCTTTACTCAGGGAAAAAAAATTAACAAATGCTAACCAAGTTTTTTTAAAGATTTAAATTATTTTATTTCGAAGATGCTCAATTGGGTATCCTTGTTATTTTTCCTTTATAATCAGTGTTTGCTAATATTCACAGTATAATTTTTGAACTCCATTCCTTCTATCAAATTTTCCTGCTTGTACTATCATCCTATAATGATCATTTTATTTTGTTTCTTACCTGTTTTTGCTTATTTTTATTCCTTTTTATTTAAAATAAAATCTTTTGGATATTTGTCATTAATGAAAAAACTTCTTTCGCAGGAAGTCCGATTTTCGAGAGGAGGAAAACCAATTGCGTGTCAGTAATGACCGGTCCATAAGAGAACTCCAGGACAAACTTCTGAGCGAGCTAGAGAGCAAAAAGCTGGAGCTCCTAGAGGTAAGCTGATAAAGGTCAGAAAAGAAATCTAAGCCTCTGAGCAAGCTAGAAAGCAAAAAACCTAGGGCTCCATTAGGTAAGCTGATACAGGTCATAAAAGAATCTAATACATTGTCAAGCTTCTAAGTGAGCTAGAAAGAAAAGAGGTAGAGCTCCTAGGGGTAAGGGATATAGGTCACACATCTTCAAATCTTCAAAAATTTATACTAAAAGAGGTCATTTTTGTCATTTCTTGGTACTTTCTGAGCCTGACTGATTATAAAACTGTGTCAAAGTTTTGTGGAAAAATTGTCTTGTAAACATTATCAGGTAGTTTTACTATACATATATGAGATAACAGAAAACATTTTTCCCATTTTGAATTTCAGTCAGATTTAAGGATAAATAACACAAACAAAATTTTTCTCAAGAAACTTAATACTCTTTACATATTCAGATGCCCTTCTCACTAAAGAAATAATATCCGACCATCTTACAACTTAAGTATTGAACACTTCACCAAAATTTGGGGGAAAGTGGGAAAATGTATGTTTTTATTTCCATATTTTTTTAAAAAAGTTTCTAAGTTATTTTTTTTCCATCTTTGTGGACAATTTGTAATTATTACCTTATGCAGAACATGTTCATGGGTCAAATATTTTATTGAAGACAATCAAAATTTTCTTTTTTGGCTTTCAACTGTAATCAATGTTGAAAAAATGATGAAACTTGATGTAAAAAGTTTTTAGATAATCCTAAAATATGTTTATATTTTTTATGGAGTGTAAACAGTACATGTAGTACTACTTTTGAATAAACTAGGAATTGGGTACCCTTTCCACACTAAATAAAGCAAGAAAAAATAATTTATATAGTAAAAAGAAATTTATTCAATCATGTCAGGTAGGAGTTGTCTCCTCTAAAGTCTGCTGCTCAAGGTATTGAACTACCTGACACACAATTTTACTGTTCTTTGTCACTCTTGGTTTGCCATCACTTGCACATTCTAGAAATAAAAGTTTAACACCTAAATTTGTATCTCTTGTGTGGGCCAGTTCAATATGCCTAAGTTCTAGTCCAGAACTTGCTATTTTGGCACGCATGTGAGGAGAAATCACTTTTGCGTCAACTAAGGGCTGCAAGGACTCACTGTTGATTTTCTTTTCTTTCTCATAATGAAGAAAGTCTAACAGAAATTGGTACTGAAACTGTTCTCGAGTAAAGTTGATGTAGGGTTCTCCATCCTCACAACAGATTGACATAATTTCTGTAGGATGACAGCATCAGCATGGGCATCATGGGCATTATATGATTCTTGGAGCAGATCAAAAATCAAGTCTTTTTGTTTGTAACTGGTACGTCCGGGAAAATTCTTTCTGAAAAAGGGTAGAGTATCACAAAAACCCTCTATATCACTTGATACACCATGTTTCTGTAAATTGAATGACAATACAAGAGAGTCAAAAGATCTACAGTTGTGAGCCACCAATAAAGGATTGGGAAATTGATGAAGCCATGAGGAAAACTTTGTCAGTCCATCTTTGGGTGACACGGCAACCACGGGAACACCATTTTTGAACATTTGATGGTTCATCATGGCTAGACCTGTGACACAAGTGGCAGAAGTAGATATCTTCTTTTCTGGAATCATATATATATCAAATGTTTCCTTTCCACATGTTGCACCAATCTGTGTGATATCAGAATGCCTTCTGAAAATACATGTACATAAAAATAAATTATTGTAGTTTTCTTATCGGTTTACAAATAAAAAATAACTGTAAGTACCGGGGTACTAATATCCATCTCATAAATTGTAAATGTCTTGAGATTTCCATTGTTAGAAATTCACATTATAATTCACTTACCCAATCCTGTGGTTTCCAGATCAAAGTATACGTAGGTGTAGGATTTCCCATCTGACAGAGGTGAAGATTTTGGTGCGGTTTGGGGTGCAGGAATCTCCAAGATGTTACAATCAGAGTCATCCTGATGGAAGTTGACATTTGATTCATAACACGTCCCTTCTCTAGTTACACGGCATGAGTTCTGGTGACAAGTATCTACACGCACTTTGACGACATCTGATATATAACAAAGAGCCAAGGCCATAACGCTTTTAATTCACACAGTCAACTAGGTGCAATGGGAAGCCACACATAACACAACCCTTCAGCAAGTTCTCAACAATGACCCCTAGTTCTACAATACGTCTCCCACGGTCCCATGACGAGTCACTATCAGGAACATCTTCTTCAGAATCGCTAATATCATAACATTCATGATCAGTATCATGATGAACACTGACTATGTCAGATTCAGAGGGAACCCTTTCTGTTTCACTTTGACAATCAACACGAATACTGTCTGTACAAATGTTATTATTTTCGTCAACATTGATTACGGTAATACCTTGCTGTTTCTTTTTTCTTTCATACGCCTTTCTTAAACGATTATAGTGGGATTTGCTTGTGAATTTCCCGGTCTTCATTCTGTACATGTTTACAGGGATTACAATTTCACGGTTTTAGAAAATAAGAACCCATGTATACAAGCATTGCGAATTCCGGAAAAAAAATTAGTGTAACTCTTTTACGCGGAAGATAAGAAAATTTGTTTGTGGTATGTATCCTTAATAACAGGTCCAATATCCAATTCAAATTACAGAAATATGATTCTTTAAAAAAAATCCATTGCTAATACTGTTCCAGTTTATTAGTAGTTTCAGTGCAGTTTGACTAATAACATGTCTTGATACTATTACAAGAATTGAGAGTAAGTGTTAATTATAACTTTCAGGAGAAAGATGCCAAAATAAGGAAACTACAGGATGAAATTAAGAGAGAGTTGGCTGAGGAGGAGAGAAGAATAATGAGAGACAAGGAGGACCAAGTCAAGTAAGTTAAATCAGCCTTAATCAGTTCTCTCATACTTACCAAGTCCATTTAGTCATATAAGTCTTACTAGTAATCAGTTTTGTCACATTTACCAAGTTCAGTAACTCCTTTCAATCATAATCAGTTGTCCCACATTTACCATTTACTGTCATATTTACTTTGGATTTCATCATATTAAATAAAAATGTGAACATTTCTTTAAAATTAAAAATCTGCTTGGGGTATGCCTTTTGCTAGCTTTTGTATATTGTAGTATAATTAATTCCTGAAACAAATGGCAAAAACATGTGCACTAAAAAGCTTTGAATCTTTCATTTTATATATTAAATTTTTATGCATCAACCATAATCAGGGAACTAGAGACTAAAGTAAAAGAGGAATTAGATAGACTGCAAAGAGAATTAAGAGACAAAAATAGTGACCAGATTAAAACACTGCAAGAGCAGAATGATCAAGAACAGCAAGAAAAAGAGTCAGAGATTCGGTAAAAATAGCAAAATCGGTGTTGTAATGCATGCATGTATGACAAGAAATGTCTGTGTTTTTGTTCTGCTCCAGAGGGGTTGTTGATTTTAATTAAAATTTTAGCTCACTATTGACTAATCAAAGATTGGAATTAAGAGGAATGTACATGTATAGAAAAAAGAACACTTACTGAATATTTATATACAGTAGATATTTTTTTGCCAACTTTCAGTGACTGCAAACTTCATTTTTATTAAATCCTTCATGTCCAGTTAGTGTTGACTTATACCACTTGGTGGCAAGCATGCATGCTATAGTGTTTCAGTGAATGGCACTTATGTATATGTAAAATGTTTCACATATTTATGTTTTAAAAGGAGGTAGAGGTCATTTGCATGGCAATTTCTGAGCATGGATGACAATTAATCTAATATTTCAAGTGTAGAAAAATTGTTAACATGATCACTAAAGGTGATTTTACTCTATGTGAACACAGCAGATATTTCCTTATTTTAAAAGTTGTAATAAAATTCAATCAGAGAATAAGTAAGAACTCTTTTGAGAAATCATTAACAGCTATAGTATCTATATTCCACCAGTTTAGATAAATAAATAAAGGACTACATGTCTTAAGTTTAAAGTGCTGTTTTATAGTTTAAATTGATATTGTTTATACCGGTAAGTTTGCATCTTTTCAAATGGTCCTTTTCATAAGTGTTCAAATATTTGAAATCTTTAACAAGTATATTGAAAAGAAATTTCACTTAAAATATTCATGGTTTTTCTGAGATTTTATTGTAAAACAGCTATGAATATCTATGTAGCATATACTATGGAGAAATGTCAAAAAATAATTTAGTCATTCATCATGTATTTTGTATGTTACTTAATGGACATGTTTAATACATACATGTAGTATGTACAGTTGAATTCTAGCATCTTGAATACCATGGATTTGTCAAAGTGATTTGAAAGTCCCAGCTTATTCTTCAAGTATTTCACCCTGGATATTCTGAATCCTTTCTTGGCCTGATAAAGTTCAAGAAAACTAGGTTTAACTGTACATTGTACTTCATCTTTCATTAGATTTCTTATTTAACCTAATAAGGAGATTATCCCAGACAGTAAAGTCCCTTTTGTATTTATAGATAAAAATACTGTTTAGATTCTTTGTGTTTTAAAATCTGTCATTCCATTTGTATTGTGATTCTTTGAGCACAAATAAAAAATAGAAATCAATGAGCATGTATCTTTTCAGTATTTCAAAATATTTTCTAAAATTTAAAAATGCTAATTTCACATTACCTTGATTACAAACTGAATATGAATGAAATAAACTGATCACTTTTCATCAGAATTTTAGAAAGAAAAATGTGAAATGAAATGTGTTATTTGATGTCATAAATTCTAGAATTAAACTTGAGTCTTTCATTTTAATGAGACTCACTACTGACTCAAGGCATACAGGTAAAGTTAACTTTGATGTTGACTTACATGACATGACATGATGACGTATTCCTTGTTTCACAACATACCTGACCATGCTACGATAATTATCCGCTTGAAAACTTTAAATGTCTTGATCTTGTCAAACCAATGCATGATGTCACTGACAATTCTTACCTTCAGAGTCTAGAGAAACAGAGGAGTGGATCAATATATTTCATATAGGTTTAGATACTTTTGTACTGGTTGATATGAAATCTTGAAGAAATGTAGGTACATGTCTGAGCTCAAAAAATTATTAAAGTTCTACACATACATCTTTATTGAAATTATTGTAATGTTTTGTATCGTTATTTACAAAGTCAATAACTACTGCGGTAGGTCAATACAATCATGCAACATTCATTCATCTTGTATTTCACCCAATTTCACCCATCACAGAAATTTATAGCTAGATTGCATGTTGGTACATATATTATAGGAAGCAGATGGAGTCAGCCCTGGAGAAATTGAGGAATGAGGTGGGGTCTCTACAGAGAGAGGAGCAGACCAAGCTGGAGGAGGAGAAGAAAAAGTGTCTGGAGAGGCTACAGCAACAGGTAAACAGGCAGAAACTGAGGGGGGTCTCTGTAAGAGGGGGGGGGGGGAAGAAAAGCTAGAAGAGGAGAAAAAGTGTCTGGAGAGACTACAACAACAAGTGAATGGGTAGAGAGGGTGTGTGTGTGTGTCATGTCTGGAGAGGTGACAGCTACAGGTAAACAGGCAGAAACTTGAGGGAGAGGGGGCATGTCTGGAGAGGTTACAACAACAGGTATATGGGCAGAAAAAGGGGTGGGAGTGTCATGTCAGGAGAGGCTACAGCAACAAATAAATGGGTAGAAAGGATGTGTATGTCATGCCTCGAGAGGTGACAGCCACAGAGAAACAGGCAGAAACTTGGGGGAGGGGGGGGCATGTCTGGAGAGGTTACAACAACAGGTGAATGGGCAGAAACTTAGGGGGGTATATTAAAGACATGTTGCAGGATCAGGAGGTATAGGAGTATGTATCAAAAGAAAGGGGGAGGTTATTTTGCAATACATATACATAACTATTTGTCTGTGCCCTTATTAATCATAAAATTATCATGCATAAGATGCATTGTGCAAAAACCTCTTACACCTGTTTCATGAATAAAATAAAATTACAGCTTTTTCTTAAATAACAAAATTAAATTTTTGTGTATCTGTGTATTGTAGCAGGAAAATATGCTTAAACAATATTATTGTTGACATTAGGTTGAAACTGCTACAGCAAGTGAACAGAAGAGACTTGAAAATCAAAAGCAGGAAGCCATAGAAAGCATGCAGTCCAAACAGAAGTATGAGCTGGAAAACATAAAGGAGGATCTGGAGAGAAAACATAGAGAGAAGCTGGATAGGATGAGGACAGAGCAGTCAGAGAAACATGATGAGGTAATTATAGGGGAGGGGATATATAGATGTGGAGGGTAGTCAAAAAATTATAGGGGAGGGAATCTAAAGGTGTGGAGGTTAGTTAAAATGAGGACAGAACAGTAAGAGAAACAATAAGAGGCAATTATAGTGGAGGGGATCTAAAGGTGTAGAGGGTCTTTATAATGAGGACAGAGCAGTCAGAGAAACATGAAGAAGAGGTACATGTTAATGTAGGGGAGGGGATCTATAGGTGTGGAGGGTAGATAAAATAATGACAGAGCAGTTGGAGAAACATGAAGAGTTATAGATTATAGGGGAAGGAATCCAGGGAACTGGAGATGAAAGCTATAAATGTGTACGGGTAATAGCAAAATAAAAAAAAATTGAATGATTTTAATATTTTTCAAAAAGAATTTATATCTGTATTAAATATAGGAAAACAGGTTTGTGTTTTCCTTGTTAACACCTAATGTAGACTGCTTTGATTCTAATACTTTGACAATATATTACAGGAGATAAGGAGAATAAAGGATGAGATAAAACGCCTACAGGAGCAGGAGCGAGAACAGAAGGAACAGGAGCTAGAGATGGCTAGGCAGAGGCAGAAGGCCATCGATGATCTAGACAGAGGGGTAAGGTCTAAGACAATGTTCACAGACAATTTTTAAAAGGGTGTGGGATGGAGATTGGTGTTCATTGACAATTTGACATTGTTCAGATCTTGCAAAATTTTTATACATTAAAATTCATGAATGTTTTCCATCTTTCAGTTATCAAATTGTTAAATAAAATATGTTCAGTGTGAAGAAAGGACAAAAAATGAAGAAACATCAGATTTATCAATTTCATTTATTTCCAAATAAATTAAACATATTTTTTTGTGTGTTATCAGTTGGATGAGGTGTTATCAGAGAGGCGGCATGAGATCAAACAGCAACAACAGAAGGAGCTGTCCAGACTTCAGGAGGAACATTCCACCCGACTACGCAAAATACGCCAGGATTATGAGGAACAGGTTAGTTAATATACAGACTATGCAAAATACGCCAGGATTACGAGGAACAGGTTAGTTAATATACACCCGACTACGCAAAATACGCCAGGATTACGAGGAACAGATCAGCTAGATTATTAATTATCCAGGTTCAATCAAGGGTGTACGGGGATTTACCCAAGGTTTTATTCCACACACCCCAAGGCTGAAGGGTGTATGAAATAAAACCCGGGGTAAATCCCCATACACCCTTGATTGGACCTGGATAATGGATTTATTTCCTTTGCACCCATAAAAACGCTTTGTAAACAGCAGAGTGTATCTCAATCTATCGATTAGATAACTACGTACTACAATGCATCGTGACGTCATGTTATTTCGTTTTTATCATAGAGAATGTATGCATTGTGACGTCACGTTTTATTTACAACGGCTCAAGTCTAGTGCACGGATATTTACACCTGACTTTGTAACCAATCAAAGCTACAAGCTACATAGGAAATAAAAGTATATACCTGACTACGCAGAGTATGCCAAGATTATGAGGAACAGGTTAGGTAATACACACCAGACTTTGGGAAATAGACAATGCTACCTGATGAGGTGAGATAAGGAACAACAAATACTTAGCAAAATATGGCAAAAGCACCAGTGTTAGATCAGATAATGTGCACCAAACTAACACTATATGACAGGAGCTCAAGGAATAGGTTAGCTATTATACACCAAGCTTTGCTAAATCATATAAAGCAGGATCATCATGTATATTACTGTTTATAAGTTGATTATTCTAAATGTTTTATGTAAGTAATATGGAGAGGTTTTTTCAGGAAGGGGATGAGAAGAAACTTCTAGAGGAGAAACTGGATGCAGATAAGAAGAAAATGCAGAAACAGTACGAAAAGGATTCTGATGACATCCGCCGAAATTACGAACGCAAGAAAGAATCTCTATCAGAACAGTTAGAGGATGAGGTATAACGTTAAGGATGCTTCATCATTATTTCATTTATTTCATTAATTTCTCTCGGCATTTCATTATCACTCTACATCGTCTTTAATTAGAAAGATGATTCTTATTGAGGGAAGTAACCCATTCTCAAATTTCTTTCTTTCAATGAAAGTTGAAATATACTGTGGAGAGTACAAAGGACAAGCTAGAGAGAAATGTCCTAGTGGGACAGGTGAAAAGTGCATGAATGTACAAACAAAAGTCACTTCACAGCTTATTGTAAAATGTAACTCATATATCTGTACATTATCACAGAAGTTTAAAAGAACACTTAATGGCATTATGTTATGTTCCATTCACAAATTTAGTCATTCTTGATTATGATATGTACGAGTACATGGCAATTTAAGTTGCATTTACATGTACTTCACTGTTACTGTAAAAGTATTGGTTTTCTTAATTTCCTGACTGACACATAATTTTATGGTAGAATCAAGTTAAAAGAAAATTGCATGGCATGAATAAAATAATATCACTTTGAACTTTATTTTAATGACAAGCTTTTGACTGCAGAACACTTCCAAAGTTTGTTTGCAAGAGCCAAGAAATATAGATGTTTTGTACAGCTGTAAATATTTTGTTGTAAAGAAAATACATCTTACACTTCTTACATATGAGAATAACAGTTTGTATGACGTTGTTGAGATCAGTTACTTTATGTGCGGATTATTCTGATTAAAGGAAGAAGAGTTCCAGGACAGAAGAGCTGAACTAGAGAGGAAAAAGATGCAAGTGGAGAAGGAATTCAAAAACTTAGAATCACAGGTATACCAAAATATTATAATCTTATTAAGCGTATGTATACATTTGTTTTTCTCACCAAGTAATTACTTATTTAGAATGAACTTGAAATCTCAGGTATCCAAAATTTGCATGTAGTTCAGTTGTTTTGTTCATCATAACTATATTGAACAATTATAAACATGATGCAATGAAAAAAAACATGTAAAAAGAAATTCATTGTGTATTTTTATTTTCTAGGAAAGAAAATTAGAAGAAAAGAGGAAGCAGTTCCGAGAGAATACAGCAAGTTTTGACCGGGAACAAGATGTATGTCACATCATGATATTATACACTGCATTTGTGTATTAAAAAAATTATAAATCATTTACAGAAATTGATTTGAAAATAATTTCCCATATTTAGGAAGCCTTTGGCAGTAGGACCAGCAATCTGAGTGCTAAGGAACTGGAGAGAATGAAGGAGGAGAGACGACAGTACCAGGAGGAGATCCGACAGGAGCGAGAGGAACTCGACCAACTGAAGGCCGAAAAACGGGCACTAGAGGAGGAGGTCACAAAACTCAAAATGAACAAAGAACAGCTCACTCGAAAACTTCGGTAAGTTTACAGGACTTCAGTAAACTCGAGAGGTTTCATTTGAATCTCCTATGGCTCTGTCTGATATAAATTATTAAGGTTTTAAATCATTATTGTTATTTCTAAATTGCTAGAAGGCAACTTGAATTAGGAAGTTAATATTCAGGTACATCTATTAGGGAAACAGTGTAAAATATTGCATTTTTTTTTCCAGTGACTTAAAGGATAGGATAGACAAGAAAGGTAAAGATATTGATCATCTGAACCAGAAAATCATTGACGCTGCAGAGGAGACAAAGTCCATGGCCGAGGAGAGAATGAGAGCCACCCACACGATAAGGCGACCCCCACATCATGTCAGGCTAGACAGTGTAGAGGCAGAGGAGGATCTCATCAGTGGTAGGTGGATCCAATTTCCAGAGGAATGGAAGGAAAGTTTTATACATTGTAGATTAAAGAGTATTTTGCCTGATTATAATTTTTTTGTGATTTTCAATTTATAGATATTCCAGAGAGGCAGCATAGGAAGAAATTCAGCTTTGCTGAGGATAGAACTGATGATGATGTAAGAGTTTAAATTTGTTTAACAAGTGTCTTTTTGTTTAGTTTAAGTTTGGTGAATTCAGCTTGTGATATTGACTATGAAAATGATTTTCAGGATATTTCTTCCATGACTGGCAAATACTGGCAGGATCTTCTCACAGAGGAAGACAGCATCTTTGAAAACATTCCAATAGAGAAGCAGAACTATGGGTATGTATGACTTTGAAAAGTGAGAGGAATTTGAATGCTACAAGATAAGGCATGTATAAGATAATGATTTGTGAGTAAGATTTCTTTCTCCTCTTCTCAGGGAAGTGAAAGTTCAGATTGCCAAAGAGAATGATTCAATACTAATGGCCAAAGAATTCCTCAGGAAGCAGAGACAATCACTGAAGAGGAGACATGCAGCTCTGTTGGCAGCCAAGCAGGAGCTGATGAAGGACGTCATCAAGCAGAAACAAGGGGTAAGCTGAGGACTTTATCTCGATCGTTCTTGTTAAAACATCTCACAGCAAGTGAGAATATCTGAGCTATTAATCTAAATTTATTTGTAGAAGAATTAGATTATGAACAGTTTTTCAGGTTATAAAGCAAAATTCTTTATTGGAATTGTTTTGTTGCAGAACACATTTGATTCGCCCTCTAATCAGTCCCAGGGGCATGTGCGATTTGTAAGGGAACTTTAAATCTTAGCTTGTGGTGAATCATGCTTGCATGACCTCTTTTTAATGTACATTTGTGTAAATTTGCAAAAGATTGTAGGGGATAATGGAATCGCCATGCCTGTATGTCTTTCTGTCCCTATATGTCCTTGGATAGATGTAAGGTTAAGTTTTTAAATTACTTTCTTGTTTATCTGTTGGAGAACCCAAATGAATTGTGCAGTTATGCTGCATCTACAGATACATGTACTTAGTGTGAAGCATGCTGATTATGCTGCCCATGACTAACAGTTTATGCTCCAGTGACAGTTGGTTAAAGTGAGGTTAAGCTCAGTATTTACAGATACACGTATAGATATTTTTTTTACCTCAAAGGCTAACCCATCCAGAACTTGCAGATAAGGGTTATAGAGGAGTACTTGGTGTAATGGGTCTTTCTGATGCAGAATCTGACCTTTTTTTCATGTTCATTTCTTGCTTTAATTTACATATTAGTGAAATAGGAGAAAGACAGGATTAAGTTCATTCTAAGCTTATCACAGATAATCTGAAGTAGATAGCAAACATAATGAGGTGTTCTTGTAGTCATGCTTTATTGATGCCGTATTCGGATCTGTTTTAATTTATGCTTCATTTAGGGGATTACTCTGGTGAAGGCAATTCTAATCTATAGGTTTGTTGTTTTGTAAGTTTTTTCTCCTGAACAATGGTGAAAACAAAAAAAATAATTCCTGGTACATTTGGCTAGGTAGTGAGATTGAACCCAGTGTTTTTGCTAATTTTTAAAACCAAGGGTCGTTATGACCCTTTGATATAAAATTTTGGGGGTCAAAAAGATTTTTTGAGGGTCAAAATATATTCTGGTTTTGCTTTCGGTTCTATCATTAGCTGTGCCTCCTAAGATCATATATTTGATGTTTAAAAATTAAAAAAAAATGAAAGTAAAATATTATTGATACATTTACTTCTTTTATTTACCGATACACTGTTACATTTTACCGATTACACCATTAGGGTTTTGTGAATACCTCAATCAAAAGATAACAGTTGAAAGTAGTTGATTGCTTTACAAGACTGTTTATTAAAGATTTGAACTTTCCCCACCTTTTTATTACCATAATTAACCTTTTTGACAAAGCCAAGCTGATATGAATATGCCAATGTAAGACTGAACATGCTGAAGCGCCATTTTTATCTGCACTTCCGGTTTTGTTAAGAATTAGATAGGTCGTACAAAAGAATATTTAATAGATTGTTGACGTGGAAATGCCGATTTAAATCACTGTCACTTTGAAATTAAACTAAAAATAATGATTAATTCCTAGAAAGTTGTCCAGAATGTAAATTAAACATATAAAATATCATTTTTTATCAAAACATCAATATTGAACAGGATTTTTGAAATTTGTTTTCACATTTTTTTCTGCGTCATGATGACCCTTTAGGTGACGTTTTTGGGGGTAAAAAGTAATTTTTATGCGTAAAATACGCAGAAATATGCGTTAACGGAAACACTGGAACCGTTTTGTATACAGGTGATTAATATTTTTTGTGTGATGATCGTTGATGTCATGTCTACTAATACAAATCATTATTGATATGTATTTAATATATGTGTTAACTTAATAAAAACTGTATTTATCATATTAAAGGAAACTAAGGTTAAAGGTGCTCAAAGCAAGGCTTAAATAATAGAACTGCATGATGATAAAATGTTATTGAATGTTTAATTACTAACAAAAGTATTGGCAATTGGGAAAACAGTATGATACATGTATGTATTTATATTTTATATGTTTGTAAAGAGGACAAGCATATTGGCAAAATGGCTCCTTTAGATATATTATTTCAGGAATATTTGATACAGTGTATTAAAAATTTGCATTTTGTTGATTAATTAGTACATGGGTCAAACATTGATGGGTGTTTGAAATTGTTTGCATTATTACTTTTATTGAATTACCAGTCTTTAAGAGCTACTCTTTTATAAATACATGTACAGTGTAAATTTTCAAGCAGACTTGTTACATATTCATTAAAAAGTAATTCATGCCAGGATTATAATTAATTGATAAAGTTTTATTAAAAGAGAAATTTTCACAAGTAATTCAATACAATGTACATTGTGTGTTGTATTTTCCAGAACCTCCCCTCAGATAGTCCCCACGTCCTGGAGGAGGTGAAGCAGAAGTTAGAAAAGGAATCCATGGACATCGATCACATGGAATCACAGGTCAAAACAGGTTCCCGTCTCGTCAAGGAGAAGGAGAGGCGAGTGAGGCAGATGAGTAGCAAGCTCAATATTGAGGTAAGTTTTCTCTCAGGTATCAAATATAATCTATTCTTATAGACTTAAAGTTAACTTGCTGTAAAAAAAAAAAAAATCATTGTTAGTTTACTCTGTTAAATTTCATTAATACATATTTAATTTTGTTAGAATTTTTGGGAAAAAGTGAAAATATCTATAAATTAAAATAAGAATGAATGAAAAAGGAAAATGCATTCTTTTGTAGTCTGGCAGTGAAGAGGAGTATTCTCCCTTTGAGCACCATTGGCGACCAGCCAAGATTCCCAACTGTGACTTGTCTGATGATGAAAGCAGTGGAGTTAGTAGCACAGACAACAGTCTGGATAATGTCCTTAAAGGTAACAGGTCCTTCTCCTAACACTTAAAATAGTAGATGGAAAAACCAAAAAGAAATAAATGTTTTAATGATAAATCATGTATTATTTCTTAAAAGAATGTGTTCTCTTTTTAAAGCCTTACAGAAGCAGAATGCTAGAATACAGAATGGTACCCCTCTGATGTCCACATTGCGGTCTGAGGGAGATCCCATTGCTCAATCCCTACAAAGGATTAACTCTGATTTGGCCAAAGTAATCACAATGATCGGAAGCAATGGAAACAACAGTCTGCAGGGTGAGAGAAAATATACAGAGAGATATGTAAGAGTTATCGTTCTTGCTACATAAATGTTGAAGCAGTACAAATGCTATGAGAATGGAAAAATTCTCTTTAAAGTATCATAACCAATTGAAATTGTTTGTTCCTTGTCTTTTTCACATAATATTAACAAATGATTGTAGTACTTATAAGTCTTCAATATTAGGAAAGAATAGAGACATTTAAGTAGAAGAATATTCAGTACATATGGAATGCTCATTTACTAGTATTGAACAACATGTAGCAATTATTTTACTATTGTAGGAACCAATGAGAAACCTGGGAACTATGTACCTATATATGCCCCCTCAGCCCCACCCAGTTTGTTAGGGAGTACAGTTCCTGCTTCTCCAATTCAGGCCTGGACAACAACCAATCCCTACATGTAAGTATCAATAAAGATAAAGTTTTGTGTGTGTTATAATCTTATATCGGTTTTTCATCTCGTTTTATAAATTGGGAATTATGTTTCATAGACAAAATCCTCAGCACAAAATAGACTACTCCACCCTAGTAATGAATGCAGAGCAATCTCTAGAAAGAAAATGGAGAAAGTACTTTGGAGGTAAACTTTTATTCATACCCTACTCGAGAAAGTTTGTGTTCTTATATTCTGAATGGTAGCTTGTCATTTAACCATCAATATGAATCTTACAATCTTTGGAAATATAGTAATACTGTTTTAGAATTGATGAGCTTATTCCATTGCAGATCGCCGCCCACCTCTTACTAGTGCTGTGCCAGGAACCTTCACGATTTCCTCAGGGCCTGTACCAGTCAGGTATGTGTTCAAGTAGAAACTATTGAGATTTGTTAGAAAATAACTAAATGGGGAATTGAGACTTTTTCACCACCAAAAATTACATTTAAAAGATAATACATGTATGTAATTATGCTGCTATCCCAGATCCTTGTATGAGAAATGAATTCTATACATGGTCCCCATTTCAAGAAAAATGTTCTAGATTGGACACCCCTCTGAATTTTGTGGTGTCCTAGTTAGATTTTTTTTGCAATAGTTACATACTTTTGTTTCTGACCATTCACTCACTCAGGGCTTATAATCATGACAAATCTACTGAAATTGAAAATGCTGCTTCTTTTAAATTATTAATTTGTTTGTACCTTACAGAGAACAGCTCAGACAGTATCGCATCAGTCTCCACCAGCAGTTACCACCCTCCAGCACCACTCAGGATAAACTGGCCGAGCAGAAGGAGTGGCTCAGAAAGTTTGGTCAGGACTTAAACCTGGGCTCCTCATTTATCCACCCCCCACAGTCGGATCAGGGCTCAATGTATCCTTCTGTTGACAGTCACAATTCACGGTAAACAATGGGAAAGGGAAAAAAAATTTTGGACATTTATTTTAAAGAAAAATTTAAGATATAAAATTGATTTTCAAGATTATATGAGAAAATATGTATTCTCGATAATTTATTATAGAGCAGAATAGTACACTTCTATGAAGGAATTAGTTTCCTAGTTTATCATAGAATATTTGATGAGATACCAGAAATAAAACAGTCGCGTTTTTAGGTACAAGATATATATACAGTGTGTTCATGGTATATGTGGTTTTGGCTGTTTGCAGTAGTGCTATTTTAAAGCTATCATTGTTGGAATATGCTTATATCATAACAAACATGCATATACTTGAATCTAGAAGCTGTAACAGAGTTTCTGTAGACCTTAACCTTCATTAGTAATCATTAGTTATGTGTGCTCTGAGAGATTTTGTGTTTGGGAAAAATTCTGTTGTTGCAAGGTGCCAAAACAAGCCAGGACTGTCTAGTAGCTAGAGCTTACTAACATCTAATTAATCATATGTCATTAATATTTTAATGCTTTTTTTACCATATAAACATTTGCATTTTTCCCATTCGTTTACATAAAACAATAACATGTATCATATTCTACCTCACAGATGTATTAATTAACAAATAGGTTTGTGTAATATTGATTGTGTATCTGTACATTGTATTGTATACCTTAGGAAAAAACTTTTTTAATCATCATTAACCCTCATTCTTTCACTTTTAACTGACTGATTGTCTATTCTGTTAGATTAAGCTATAATCTCTTTTAATCACATACTATGCAGCTATAGCTAACAGATTGTACAGTATATTAAATTAAGCTGTGTCCCTTAAATCACATACTATGCAGCACTAACCAAATAGTATGCATGATTTTGAAAACTGGTTGCACCATGTTGGAATTATGCACAAGAATGTTTTTAAACAATAACTTTACACCAATCACAACTTTTCTATCAAAATTTTAAGTAGATCCAAAAACGTTTCGATTTCGTAAATTTCTATGATTGGATCTGCTTAATGAAGTGTGAAGCAGTGAGTCACCTGAGTTGACCTTAACCTACTAACCTAGAGACAGCCTCATGCTCTGTTCCCAGGTAAATGACACAGAACCACTGTCATCCACGCCTCAGCGACGACCGTCTGTCCCTGGAGTCACTCGACTGGAACTGGATGAAAATGATGAGATAAGAGTCAGGCATTTCTAGGACTGTCAAAATACTGCATGAAAGGTGAACTAAGATAGCATCGTAGCTGTATGTACCTGGTACCTATGTTCAGTGCTAGTGATTGCAGAAAACTGGGTGAAACTTGTTTCAAGTTTGTAGAACATTGCAATGCACATACAAATTTGTATTAAGTAAAAGAGAATGTATCTATTTTTTGAAGAGTGGATGTTATGGGGTTTTTTTTGTACCATGATAGTTTTGCATCTCTTTTGAAAGCAATATTTTGAGTGAGACAGAAAATCTGTGTCAGAATTAAGTTTGAGAATAAACTGGACAGAATTTGTAAAAATGAAAGAGAAAAAATCATGATGTTGATGTAAGTAGAAGTAAGGTATAAAAGAAGACAGTTCCATTGTGTTCACAATGTCCGCATAGATTTATGTAAAGCACTGGACTTTTGGAAGAATGGATATACATAGTTAGATATACATGTATGATGATCTGTTTTGTAGACGGTTGTAGCATGGATAAAACGTGTATTCTTTTACACATAGATTTTTCACAATGGCAGGAATATTCATACTTGTGTGTTCATTTTATCATTGCCATTTTGTCTTCAGCATGTTTATCATTTGTAGCATCCTTCTCACTTGTAATTGAGGTTTCAACTGATGTATATTTAATACCATGTATGGAAACTGGGTTCATTTCAACGAAATTTGAATATTCCTTCCGTCCGGCACAGTTATCCGACACAGCCTTATACACTGAGTATTTCATATCAAGAGTCTGCATTGTGATTTATCCCACCATTTGTATTCTTCCATGAATATGTTTATGTGTTATACATGTATTCTCATATTCAGCATTAGAACTGTTAACAGTGTATGATGTTTACATTTATCGGAGCCAGAGACCCAACAGACCTTTTCTGATCAAAGTTGGTTAATAGTCTGGTATTGAAAGCTTTTACATTTCTTTATTATTATGTTATTATTTTTTTAACTTCAGGTCCAGTTGCAACTTAACTTAGTTCAATGCATCCTTGAGTGAATGCAAGTTCATTATTCAGGGGCCAAGTCTTATTTTCAGAGGCTATGTTATGAAAAGATAATAAAAACAGGATTAGGGGGGAAAAATTCTAAAAGCCTACCGTAATTGAATATGCAGATATCCCCAATCCTTCCCTTCTGGTCTTGAATAATACTATGATAGGAGAGTTTACCAGATATTAAAAAAATATATAATATCTTTGGAGCTGTTATGGATTGAAAGTGTAGAAAAAAAAAATTAAAATTTACAATCCTGGAATGCATTTCCAAGGATGGAATTTAAAATTAAATGTCTACATAGGATGATAATTAAGAGGATATAGTGTAGGATTCAAAGCTTGAAATGAATGCAGTAGACATCTTGAAGCTAAATTTGCACTTTTGATGCCTGTTTACCAAAGATTTGGGCTACATGAGTTTTTATTACTGGTAGTCAAAAATTCTTGCTAACAGAACCAGGTGAGTGTTGTGGTCCTGGGTACATTGTAAGAATTTGTCCTTATCTGAAAAATAAGAAAACATGCTCAAAGGTTGTGTAAAAATCAGCCTTGCAATTTTTTTTAGTAAAAATGGTTGTACGAAAGGAAAGATATTAAAAGGAAAGATATTGCAAGTGTTAGGTCAAAATAGACCAATATTTTTGATTGTACAATAGATAAGAGTGCTGTTTTATTTATAACTCTAAAACTCTGTGATAGAATGTTGTTAATTATCATGAAATCTCATTTGTTATGACAATAAATATATTATAGCAAACTATTTTATCATTTGCTTTATTTGTGAATTGAGCCAGGAAAGATAACCTCAGAATTAAAATTTGAAGAAAAAGAACTAAAATTTATATCTATGACTTTATCAAGAAACTATCCAGTAGTCTTGAGCAATGAGAGAAGTTAAGCTCTTGTGAGCCAAAGGTTAAATTATGTTATACTATTACCATTTTAGTATTCTCAAGAATCCCTTGTCAAATTATCAAATTTGTCACAGTGAATCCTTTGCCCTAAGGCTTTCATTTTTGCTAAGAATAGGGATATTACTCTTTTAACAAGGGAGAAAAAATTAGAGAAATTTAAACGGTTACGGTTTCTACAAAAAAAAAAATCTACTCAAGAACTACTTGGCAGATTATCACCAAACTAAGATATGACAGCATACCGGCATTCTTAAATTATTTGTTCTATTTTAATTGCATGAGTGGCAGATTTTTTCGCAAATTTAAAATGATACCTAGTAGTATTTCCATTTTGGGTTCAAGAAGATTGCCAAAGCCATTTACAAGAGCATTCGCGTACAAAACCATATGTGGAAACATTGCAGAATAGATGACTCAACTGCAGCCTTAATTAAAAGATATATAGTCACTCTGTTGACTCACGAAAAATGTTGCTTAACATTCAAAGAAAAAAGTAAAATGTATATACATAAAATTTATTCAGAAATGATTTAAATGTTTATCCCATTATGAGTAATATCTTTTGTCGAAATTTATGTTTTAAACAAAATGACTTGTGGAGCTAAAATTAAAAAAAAGAACTTAATAATCATTGATTCATTTAATTTTCCAAGATGCATCTTTTTGATAGTGGGTAAAGGTAACCCACCTTTTTGCATTCTATCATTACTATCTCGATATCTTTGAAGGTAAGAGGCCAAAGCACACGTGTTAAACGTTGTCTGTTCATGCATCTTAATCCTAGTAGGTCACTATGACCTACTTTAAGTATTTCAACATTATTTTACAACATTATTAATCATTATTAATTTTGTCCAGTCTTTATATTTGATATGAGGCGAAATATATTGTACCTTGTCAATTGATATCGATGCATCTCAGTATATGTTATCCCAGAGCAGGTCCTATACAGTAACCTACTTTTAGTATATTATTTTATTAGCTCTTCTGAGCCAAAGGCTCAAAGAGCTAATGCTATGGCCATTTGTGCGGTGTGCGTAAACTTTTTAGAATATGGGCCATAACTCAGGAACCCCTTGGCCAATCAGTACCAAATTTGTCACAGGGTATCCTTGGCCCAAGGGCTACCATTTATACTAAAATAAGGGTTGGGACCCTTAAACAAGGGGAGATAATCAGGAAAACAAAACCAAAAGTACTGGTTGCTAAAAAATCTTCTCCATAACCACCAGGCAGATTTTCACCAAACTTACATACAACGATCAGGATATGTCGAAGATTAAAATTTGCACGGGGAATTACCCTGGGGCAAAGGGCGTGGTTTCAAGGTCACTTCAAAGTTGACTTAAATTTACAATTAATAAAAATGTGTATATTTTGCTTACTATAAGAACTAGGATCAAAAAATCTTACGACTTCACTCAAAAGTAGGTTTACCTACCTTTTTAAGTTTTGCAGGGATTTGTTTTCAAATTGATTTGAAGGCATATTTTGGACACTTTAATATATCAAACTTTGTCAGTTGATGTATCAGAACAATGTCAACTTAAAAGTAGGTCACCGTGACCTACATTTTGAACTTTATGACTTATCCTTTTAAAAACATCGAATCCCATTATTTCAGACACTGGGAGGGTTAGAATCATCAAATCTTGTACTTTGATGCATCTTGGGACCTTAAAACAAATTTATGAAAAAGTAGGTCACTGTGACCTACCAAAACACGACATTTGTTTTCAGAGGGGAAAACGCATATTTTGATTACCTTCAGACCTACGATCATCAAACTTGGTCAGTAGATGCATCTTGGGTCTTTGAAAAATGTCGACCAAAATGTAGGTCACGATGACCTACTTTCGACATTTTATGGCTATATTTAGGTATCTTAGGTATTTATTGGCTTAGAATCATCAAAACTTTGTGAGTCCATGCATATTTGGTTTTTGGAGAGTGACAACCTAAAAGTAGGGCACGGTGACATAATTTTGACATTTTATGGCTTTATGTAAGTATCTCCGGTACTTATTGGCTTAGAATCATCAAACTTTGTGAGTTGATGCATCTTGGGTTTTTGGAGAGTGACGACCAAAAAGTAGGTCATGGTGACCTACTATTGACATTTTCTGACTATAATTAAGTATCTCTGGACAGGTACTTAATGACCTAAAATCAGCAAATTTTGTCAGTTGATGCATCTTGGAGAACGTCGACCAAAAAGTAGGTCACAGTGACCTACTTTTGACATTTTATGGCTATATTTAAGGATATCCGATCCTCAGCCAGGAAGGATAACTCCAAAAATTAATATTTCAATTGAAATGCATCAAAATGAAGCTTAAAAATGAAATGTTTTCATTCAACAATTTTCCTTTTATTTATCTTTATAAGATCCGAGCTCTTTGGAAGTTTTAGATAAGGTCCTATAAAAGTTGACATTTGTACCCTATAAAAGGAGAAAAAATTAATACAGTTTCAGAGAAATAAGATTTTCTTGAATCCAGCAATAGATATCAATGCCTATTAGCATAATATGAAATGAGAAGTGATTTGTGATGTCTTGCAATGATAACAAAAGCCTTTTACACTATGTATTATAGAATACATGACAGAAATAGGAGACAAAAAATACCAAATAAGTATAAAAATCATGACAATTTCTCTGAATGCCTGGATACCTATAATTTTTTAACCTAAAATATACGTGTTGATCAATTTGCAATTAGAAAATACATTGCTCATATTCCAATTTGCTTTTTTCTGCAAAAATATTTGAGATTTGACAATTTTCCTTATATAATACTCTATGATTAACTTTAATCATTAACTTTAAAGAAATACTGTGGATAAATTTACATAACTTTGTGGATTCAGAGATACTTTTATGAGTATTTTTGATTACTTAACTGCTAATTTTATAAACCTGAGGATCGGACTACCTTAAGTATCTCAGGCACTTATTGGCTAAGAATCATCAAACTTTGTCAGTTGAGGCATCATACCAAAAAATAGGTCACAGTGACCTACTTTTGAATATCTCAGGTAAGTATAAGCTTAGAATCATCAAACTTTGTCAGTTTAGGCACCTGGGGTTTTCGGAGAATGTCGACCAAAAAGTAGGTCGCTGTGAACTACTTTTGACATTTTATGGCTATATTTATTTGATATCTGGTACTTATTGGCTCGGAATTATCAAACTTTGTCAGTTGAGGCATCTTAGGGTTTCATTGAATGTCCAACAAGAAGTAGGTCATGGTGACCTAATTTTGAATATCTCAGGTACTTATTGGCTTAGAATCATCAAATTTTGTCAGTTTAGGCATTATGGGTTTTTGAATAACGTCGACCAAAAAGTAGGTCACCGTGACCTACATTTGACATTTGATGGCTATATTTAATTATTTTTGGTACTAAATGGCTAAGAATCGTCAAACTTTGTCAGATTAAAAATGACCAAAAAGTAGGTCATGGTGACCTACTTTTGAATATCTCAGGTAGGTACTTATTTAATTAGAATCATCAGTCTTTGTCAATTAATGTATCTTGAGTCCTCAGAAAATTTCAATATATCACTGTGACCTACTTATGGTATTTTATAATTATATCATAATATCTTCAGTCTTAACTGGCTAAATATTATCAAACTTTGTAAGTTGATCATTTTGGGTCTTATGATTCTAATAGAGTTGGAGGCTTCTAATAGAAGTGAAAACAATTTATCAAAATATGGGCCTCTTGTTCATTCCCAAATCAATTTATCTTTGATACCGAGCGAGAAACTTGGGATGATCAAACTTTTTCAGCTGATGCATCCTGAGATCATATAGTTTGTCCAAATAAAAGGTCAGTCACAAAAAAAAAATTCTCTAAATTTTACAGCTGTTTTCTTTTTAAAATGAATATATGGAGACAACGAACAGTATTCAAGTTCAAAAGTCCATAAACAATACAAAATCTAGGAGCGGAGCAAACATGGACCTCCAAAACACCAGAGAGGGGGATCGCATTTTGGCTAAAAAATTCTCATACTTAAGGCTATACTATTAGATTGAATCAGTTTCAGAGGGGGTGCATAACCAAGGTGTTTGGGGACACTACCAATGCGAGCAAATATTTCTAGACACGCAAAGGTCATCAGACATTATTGAAAAAAAACAAGCATAACATGCATAAGGTAGCTATATATGTATGTTTTCTTCTCCTAATGCGTTGGAAAATTATTTGGGGGAAAAGTCCTAACACACGATCATGTAAAGTATATTCAGTTAATGGAGACGAGGAAACGGACATTGATACGGTGGCGGCAACGGCAGGCATGTTAGGTGACAATTCGATCCTTAATTAACACGTGTAGAGCAGGAGATTTCTGTCAAAATGAAACATTCCCGGACGAGGTTCAAATGTTTGAACATATTGTTCTTAAAAGCGACTGACACCGTGCATGCATGGAATTTGCAAAATTTTGTGATCGATGATAGGAAGCATTTGGGTTGACCAATTAATCAGAAAATACGTCACGTCAAGCGCTTGTTTTAAAAATTGATCTAGAAATATCTTATTTTGTCCATTGTAGAACGACTGAAATATATAAACATTTACCATATACTTACTAGTATCTAAAGAATTTTCAAAAGTCCATAAAACAATACAAAATATTTTGATATACTTAAACCGCGTAAGAATGATTTCATCAGAAAATAACAGTGCATATTCATTGATGAATATTTTGAACTGAATCCTTGGCATGGACTTGTTCTCTAAGACTTTTTGTATGAAATATGAAGACAATATATATGAATATATACAATATGAAGGCTTCCCTGCTGACTGATCACATCCGCCATGTGCT